GTGAGATTTGAACAGCTGAACAGCTGAACTGCAGTCAGCTGAAGTAGCCTGCAGTGCTGCATTTAACCACTGTGCCACCTTGGCTGTCTCACTCTTGATAGTGAGATGCATGGAGTATAAATTTAATAAATAAATAAAATAAATATTCAATATGAAGTGTTTTAGATTGTTCTTACCAGTTCTGTTGATGAAATTAGTACTTTCCTAAAAATATCTCCAGTCTTCCCCAACCACTTTCATATGCCACTGATTCCTATTTTCACATAACTGTGTTGAGAACTGTGGTGCTATAGCAGGCTTATGCAACTTAACTGTCCAACTATAACTGAATATATCCCATTACCATTTTGTCTGCCAAGGAAGGGGATTTAGGACTAGTTGTATATTCCAAAGTGGAGTCCAAACTCCTCATAGAAAATACAACTGTCAGAAAAATCCTATACATCAAGCATCTAAACTTCAATATTCAGAAAAGGAACAAACACAATACCAAAAATGAAAAATTAAATCTGTATCTATTTCCCATGTAATGGAATCAGCCAGGACTCAAGACTCAACAAAATAATACGATTTGTTTCTTCATTGTTTAACTTATAGCTTATCATAATTTCATAAATCATAGCACTTATCTTTTTAAAACTACTGTTATATTTTTTTCATTTTGGAAGTACAAAAAAGTGTCTTTTATGAGTTATACTCTGTCATATTGATAGGTTGGGCTATTACTTACAATTAAATAGTTACTGACTCTATTTTGGGTTTAAACTCTTAAATATTAAAATAGTTTTGTAGTGGTGGTTTTTATGTATGAGATGGCATTATAATGATAAATATTCTTCTGCCAGTAGTAAATATGGAAATGTAAGCTTTGAAATTACACAACACATTTTGGAATTAGCAAGCAAGAGCCATATGGCATATGAGATTTAAGCATATTGTAATTTTGGTTTAAGTTAGAGGGAGCAAGATACTGAATTATTTTTAAATGCATATACATGAGCCCCTGGCTCTTTCATAGATAAAACAAAGCATTAAAGTACTTAATTAAAGTACTTTAAACATTAATATGTTGATGCAATATCTACTTACGACTTATTAAGTTTGTCTATAATCCAGTACAGACAAAAATGATTTTAAGGACTCCAAAAACTGACAGAGGTATTTAATTTATTTAAATGATCTATCTCATGACAATGACTCTTTTACAGCAATTTGCATTAGACAATTAAAAATAACAACTCTGAAAGAGGAGGAGGGAGGAGGGAGGGGGGAGGAGGCTATATCTAGGCACAACAATTTCACCCAAATAAGAGTCTTACCACTGTTCCAATATGGAACTGATAATATTGAAATGCATCTAAATACAAACATTTGATTCAGCTTAGTGTATGATAATATTATTTCAGAGGAAATAAGGACATGCTGTGCACAGTGACATTAGAGTTTGCAATAAAACAAAAGCTTCCCTAGGTAACAAACCTTTCTTCTCTTCACAACCTGTATCAGACTTCAAGGTGTGACTGCTGCTGTGTAAGGAATCTTTCGAATCTTCATTTTCATCCAAAACCCCAGCAAAGCTGATCTTCCTCTCATACCTGTGTCGATCCATCTCAGGGTCCAAACGCAACCTGCAACTCTCCAGATCCTATAATAGTATATAAACATAAAAGTGTATAAATAAAACAGGCCTTCAAGGTGTTTTTTTTTCTGAAGCAGGAAAGAGTTCAAATTGACAAGGAAATGTAAATGTTGCGTTAGATTTTATCCTACTGTTTTGCAATGAACCCAAGAAGGAAGTAGGCTAGACTAAAGATAATTGGTTTTATAACTGGTTTTTATATGCTGCTCTTATAATTCTATTACCAAATATTTTCAGGGCAAGTTGCTCTAAAGATTAAATAGGAATAGCCAACAGAAAAAATATATATATACATACATACACACACACACACATAAATATATTATATATATAATATTATATATTATATGTATCTAAACTAAAGAATGTCAAGAATGGTTAGACTAAATTGCCATCCATCCATCTTGAGAAATCTTTTTTTTTTCAAGACCTATGACCAAATGACCGGCTATTTTGGATAACAAATTTTCACTCTGTCTCATCAATACATTCCTGTTCTGATCCCCTCCTCCATCCAGTAACGAATGCCGAGACAAGCTTAATTGGAATGTACTTTAATAGCAAGACACCAAGACCTCGGTGGCTGAAAGCCAAGCAGAACAAACAGATAAGGAC